TCACGTTAGTAAGAGCCCGTTTACTTACAAGATAGGCCATGTGAATTCGACCTCCAACTCTACCGTGACCCCTTCTGCAAAAGCTACCAAAGAATAAACCGCAGGTATAGACTCGCTTAGCAAGAACGGATAGACTAAACTTCACCAATCACGAACCGCAGAGCCTCACACTCTGGTAGCTCCCGCAACCAGAACGCACTGAACTCCCCATAGCAGCCTATACAAAATCTCCACGATAAAAAGAACCTCCTACGACTCACTCACCGAATCATGAGGCACGCTACACTCAGGCTTCCACTGGTCCTATGGTCACAGTTTTTACTTGCTCCAATAATTCTCTCTCCGCGAGTATTAATGGCAGGGGCTGACACTCGCTCACCTCTCCCGGGCAAACAAACCCAATCAGAAATGCAGGGGACAAATCTCAACTACTATCATCATTACCACATCCCCTCCGCCCTTCCAACCAACACTGCGAATAAATACAGTACAATGACCACACCCACAACCCCACTACTTCGCACTCTCTCTCGCTCCTGGAAGCCGCCTTACGAAAGCTCCTTCTCGACGATGAGCAAGAAATCGACAAAGATAAACTTCTGGATGGCTCCATAGTTTTACGCTTCACTGGTGGCTGGATCTGCAATAAGCTCCTAGATACCCGAAACGTGGACATCGGTGCGGGAATAAACAATATGAATGGGTGCAAGTCCTCCACTCAGTTTTCGGAGTACATCAGGGCTTTGAACTGCGCAGTGTGAACAAGATCGAAAGCAATCCTGAGAAGCCTAAGCATCTAGAGAATGTTACTACGAAGGTTATAGAGCTAGATATTGACTTTTTCAGTTTGGGGAGTGAGGGGTATTCTGAAGAGAGTCGGATTCAGCAGATGGTTTGTTCCACTTTATCCTCAACTATCAAATGGGGGATATTGACGGCGGCTTTAGGTTTTCGGAATCCAAGAAAAATATGCCCTCCGCCGTGACTGCATTATCAACGCACTCTTGTACGTCTACACACGGAACTAGTTGAGTATTTTACCGGCCTCGACATACAGGAAATTGCCGCCCTCATAATCCTCACCCCGGACCAACGCCAGCGAAAAACCCCACTCTCCATCACTGAAGCCCAATTTGTTATGGGAATGATCTCGGCTATCATCTTGGTGGGAGAGTGGCGATTGCAGGGGTGTTAACATGGGTATTTTTGCAAGGGGCTAGTGCAGAGTGCTGCTCGGTTATGTGTGATAGCTGGAAGGAAACTAGAACTTACCATATCAGCAGACTCGACCGTTTGATCGATGCGTCCTCCGGGACAGCTGTGAGGCTGGAATTGTCAGTCCGACTCGTTCTCTCGGGGCCTCGTGTCTGAGCAGCAAACTTGTGGTCATATGGGAAGGGTAGAGGCAAGATTGACTACTTAAATCACGGTTGGCACCTTTGTTCTTCTAATAGTCGCATCACCTCTTTTATCCCTATTTTCTATCTCCAGTTTTCTCTCAGCTAATTCCCATCAACCACCACCACTACTTTTATTTCTATTTTATATCGTTAACACAACGATAACACCATGATTACCAAAACCATCTGTTTGTGCAATTAATTTAAGAATCTTACAGTGCGCTGATTGCTAACTTGATATTTGTGCGGTAGATGTTTTTCCCAAGCATGGTGCGATGATGATGATCCGGTGGGGCAGCAGCCTGGGAGTCAGTATTGTTTAATATGAGCAACCATATTGCGCACCACTAACACCAGCTAGGACAGCGGGGGAAGCCAGTCCTCACGTTCGAAAATCATTCCCTGAGCGCGGCTGAACTCTCCCGATCGCCGGCTGGGCCCCAACACTGGAGCCGGCCTAACACACCTACCAGGTAGTGAGTGCCGCCCACCTGCGAAGGGCGCGAGAAGGGTGGCCGGAACGGGGTCGAGCGGGGTGATGGAGGAGGAGGGGGGTGATGGAGGAGGAGGGGGGTGATGGGGAGGGAGGGGAGGGCTGGGCCGGCCCCAAGGGGCGCAGAGTGGTGGTGTGTGGTTATGGGCTATTCATTTGTCGTGTGGTAATATGTAGTTGGCCTACAATTCTTTATTATGGGAGTCTGCATCGTGTGTAAAATACTTTCTTGTGTCCACAATAGCGTCTCCCTTCTAGCCTCTCCTCCACCACATTATGGCTAAGATGCCTCTACCCATTCCTTGAGTGACGCTAGCGGATTGCGTCCTTCAGGACTGAGCATTTCGATATCTGATAATACTACAAGCAAATCTTTCCCTTTAGTCGGGACAATCCCACAGCCTTCGCCGTGAAATATCTATATAAGTGCCCCCGCGTATCTTTGTCTGATAACCAGCCAATTGTTATGTTTGAAGCTCACATGGTTCTCCCCAAGACCCGTCGTCTCTAGCCCCGCCAGGAGGCCTTGAGCATGAGTACTGCGCATACCTGCAAATCTTATGGATTCCCGTTCTGTATTGCGGGACCTTTGAACACACCTCCCTCAGACCTCGAGTTCTTTTTCCTATTTGCTCAGATTTTGTCAACTACAACCTTCGCAGGTTTGTCTTATTATCCATGTTTTTTCCTAGAACTCATTGTCGCGATCATTATGTCCTGGTGCGCCCATCACAGCAATCATAACTTCGTTGGCCACATAAACCGAGATCTCTTTGCCGATTAAAGGATTCAGAGATTGGAAACTCCTAGTTATTTCTCCCTTTTTCGAGTTTCAGTCCCAATTAGTTCTGTTAACTTAATCAGTAAAGATTTCCGCAGATACTCCAAGTTTCACTGTACCCTTAGATGTGCTAGGGAGGCGGGGAAATCGAGAAATCTTCTACAACCACACTTCTGTTCTGGTCAGTAATCCTTCTATAGAGAGAGTGGATATTCTAATGTAGTGATCAAATTTTAATCCATGGTATTTAATATGAGCAGTACTAAATTCCAACCAGTACACAATAGCCCCCCTTAAGAAAAACCAGGCTGTTTGCTATCTTCAGTTTCTAATGCATCAGAACGGCTCTGTTTATGCTGCTGTTCATAATACCCTAATCAGTATGTCTCGCATCAGCCGGAACACGAGTCCTCGTTATTAGAGTACCGTAGGATATTTGGATCCTTGGCTCTCGCTCATCTGGGATTACAAAATGTGGATAAAGATTCGAGTTCAATGTACCTAAAATGGCAAAAACAAATCAGTAATCAGGCCAGATCCACACCAGTGAGTCTGTGAATGGATGACCACCGACAATGTTGTTATTAACGAAGATTCCATCTACTGCCCACCTGTAGTGTTACCTGTTAGAGATCAGTTGCTGGATACAGAGTAGTTTATCTTAAGTGTTTTGTGTTCATGGTGATGGTGTTTGGAATTGAGCAATGGTTAGTTTGGTCCGAGAGTTAATTGAAGCGGGTGGGTTTCCGGGGTTTCAGCAATTAGGGTTGAATTCTAGAAGACCCTGGAGGAGGGAGTGGCTACAGTGAAGTGTCGTGCGGCCCGGTGCGGGATGAGCGCCCGTGAGCCTATCAGTTGTGATTTGAATTGATGTTTCGGGGGAGGGCTAGGGGCCCGGTCTGCTAAGGGCTGTGATCTGTTGTATTTTGGGTACCGGGGGATACCCAGTTATACGCGGGTTCGGCGTAGCTAGGATAAATATTTTTGCTAAGACGCAACTAGGTAAGATGTTGATAACGAGACCTTGGACAATGTCGAATGTTTGGCTTCGGGAATCATAGACTGTAACCGACAAGGAGAGGAAATTTTAATAAAGTGGTAAAGGGAGTGATAGATAAGATCTGAGAGATAAAGGTAGAAAAAACAATCGAGAAGGCTCTAGCGACTTATATGGACATGACAAAGGGCTTATAATCACTTGCTCCGCGATGCCGATTCCTCCATGAAGAAAAATCTGATACCGGAGACTAGCATGGTGAAAACCCTTTCTCGCGCGATACTACTAGTACAGTCCACCAGTGCCTGACTGACCAAAAAAATCTTTCACCGGTGGGGAGACATCTCCTATATGAGTGCTTGTGCATTCTTCCGGCGGCAATGTCAACTCTGCTTCTGTTCTCGGCCGTGCCTAGTGCATGCGATGCAGGACTACCTATTTCCAACAAATATATTAGGCTCAGCGCACCCGATGATAGTGCAACGGGATTAGTTAGGCGTTACTAGAGACAGATATTGTGCGATGGAAAGGGATTGATTCGGATGTCAAGGGAGAGTGTTTGGTGCCAAATTTGAAGGTGTTCTAGAATGTGGTGGTGTGCGAATGAAGAAAAAAAGGGTGGCGATCCTGCGCGAACTACGAAGCAGTATTTAGTATGAGGACAATTCGTATGTATATATCACGTATCATAAGAGTATGGGCAAGGAGTATCCAGTGACTATTGTATCTAACCCCCAATGCCACACGATACCACAACCTCAAAGAACCAGCGATCTCGCCAACCCATACTCAATCATTCCGCGGTACCGCAGGACTGATTTCGGCAAATGCCATCTCAAAGTTCTCTGCCGTAACTACTAATACCCCAGCAGCCTCACCGGGACCAGTGAGGCTGGCCTGTCTGATCGCCTGAATGGTGGCCTCTTGTACTAAGGCTTCTAGATCTACACCACTAGCACAATATTAGTATTGAAGATGGGAAGTGCACTAAGGAAGACTAACCTAAAGTCCGCACACCTGGGATCGTCCGCAATGACACTAAGATCCACATTGGATAAGGTTCTATTTTTTAGTGATCGTTTCCAAGATGTCTAGTCTCCCATTCGGGTTTGGACGATCTATAAATATTACCTCCTCCAATCTCCCCAATGTAAGTATCTCCAGCGTTCGCAGGCGGCCAGGCCGGCCTGCAGATAGCCTGCAGATGCATAGTCCGGCCCGGCCAGGTCAAAGTGAAACTGACCTGGGTTTTGTAGGCTAGGATTTGGTGAAGCCTATGGGCTACACGGATGCCTGGGGGCACCGGTAGGCTTTTGGCATCTGCCACCTGACCAGTAAATATTGCGTCTGTGCACCACTGATATCTGAAGATGCCTGCAGATGTTAGAAGATGCTCGCAGATATCTAAAAACCTGCAGATATCTACAGTCCGGCCCGGCCGGTCACCAAAGAAGCCCAGGCCGGCCGGCCTGGACCTCAAGCCTGGCCGGACTGGCCGCTTGCGAACACTGGCGGGGCGGAAGGAGGACGAAATAACAAGACAGAAACAGCAAGCACATTCCTGCCCCCTACTACACAGGAACTCCACTCTTTTTCTCTGGTACGCTGTGCATACTTTCATGCACGAGTCCTTCGAGATCTTGTGCATTACGCATACTTTGACGCACAAACCCTTCCATAATCTCCAGCTTCAAACCTTGTTTCTGTAAATTTTCCACCCTCTCGTTGACCATGCCACCAGACAATTTCTGCATGATGAACCAAGTCAGAAGCTGTAAAGTCCTGTTAGTGCCTAAATATTCAAGATGCTCTGAAAGATCACTCGCACCCCCACCCCCGCCTACCACTACTGCAAGCAGAATTCCAACCTGCCATTTAACAGTTTCTATGTCACCTTCGATCTTTCCAATAGTCTAGCAAATTGTCAGTACTAGTAGCTTGCTAACAATCATAGAAGTACCTACCCCGAGGGTTCTCATTGCAATACCTTCTAAACGCAGCACTCTTGTCTCTAGCAACCCGACGACCTATGTACGATTAGCAAATTTTGGCTAAAGGAGTTTAGAAAAACTATACATTACTGGGGCTAGTTATCATTTCAGGGGAGGCAGGGCATCCCGACTCCGGTAGGGCATCACCAGTAGGGAGGGTCAGGCGGCGTTGAAAGGTTACCCCCGGCGGCCTGATTGCTAAGGGCCTGTTCGGCAACGACCGTTCCGTTCCGTTCGTACATACAAAATGGCCGTTTGCGAACGGAACCATAAGGCAATTTGTATGGGCGAACGGAACGGAACTATCGTTGCCGAACAGGCCCTAAGAGAATCCGTGCAGTGCGGAGCCGGCTGATGAACAGTGACATTTTCTTTGAAATGGGGTTGGTTGGTGCGGGGTTTGTGTGATGGAGTTGGTTGAAGCGGAGTTTGCGAGATTTGGTTGGGGTTTACCATTATCTCAGTACGAGTACTATGGCCAGACTGTAAAACTATGACGTCCCTAGTTAGACGGGGAGAGCCCTCAGCGTGGATTGGCAAATATTGGCGGCTATGGTTACAGTCTCTTGCGGCGTTGCGAGATTCTCGAGTCGCGAGAGTGGCTGCGGAAGCGATCCAATAATATGCGGTGTAACTTTAGAGATGGAAAGAAGCCAAAAGCAATGGAAAGGAATATGATTTTCTATGTGGGTGGTGTGTTGTTTTTCCCTAAGTCCTCCCCGGTGGTTGTCATCAATTAAGGACAGAAATGAAGTCACACACCCAATGTGCGGAATTGTGTGCCAAGCCATCTCCTAACTATCAAACTCTACAGGGACGAATACCCTATCAGATACAACGACCAGGACCTAAAAACCAATCCCTTCGTCTGTTTTCAAGCACAGCGCTAACTTCCGCACTACATGAATTTTAAGAATTTCTTGCCACCACTATCATCATGAGTAAGCAATGCTGTTGTTGGTTGCTAGAAATTCGCAGGTGTGCACACTTCAGGATACCCGTTACCACAGGTACGCCGAGAACAAATGAGAACTAACTTACAGCAGTAACCCAAAGCTTGCGCCGTCTTAGCAGACGAGAATGGTGGTGATAATTCGGGAATTTCAGCAGTCTGGGAGATAATGGTTGCAACCATCTCTCCTAAACAGGCATTAGAGGAGCGCTTTTAGAACTCACTAAAATCACTAAAAGTGTGTGAAACTCGGGAACAGGCGAAGGGATACGTCCTCCACGCCGGTACCGTATTGAGACAAGAGAGAGTGGAACAGGTGTGTGGACACTAACCTGTCAGGGCTGCCAAGACAGTAAGTGACAGCGCCACTCTCGCGACTTGAGAATCTCGCAACGCTGGAAGAGACGGTACATTTTTTTTTTTTCCTTTTTCAAAGATTGGAGCTTGGGGTTGCATAGTTTATTGTCATTCATTTGAACGAACACTAGTTTTAGATCTGTCCAATAATAGAGATATATGGGAGGAAATATACACTTTAAGCTCGAGCCTTTTTTGAAAGCGATTCAGTCTTACCTGTGCGATCACCATTAGAGATCGCAGAGCACACAAGGGGTGATATGGGCCTTGTGGTTCCCCAAATGTTAACCCCGCATTGAGCTAGTATTAAGAACAATAGGCTTCTCCAATAGATTACTAAACGCGCGAGCGAGGTTAAATCATTACTAACTACCGAGTTATAAATCTTAGAAATGGTAATGAGGTATGTTAGAGCCGAATATCTTGAACCACCACATTCAACAGTTATGATAGAGCCCAGAAAAAAGAAGTGTCGTTTCCTTTGGCCGAGTGACCACTCACAGGACATCACTCGCAACAACATGCCCCTGAATGGCATTCCACAACCTAGTGAACGGTAGCTGAATAAAGAGTCAGTGAATGCTATAAACAAGCGGAAAGATCACCATGACTATAACACTACCAGCGCCCTCAACCGGCTACTCCATATGCCCAGGAGGCCGGGCGCCACTATGTGCGACAGCGCATCCTTTTTATGTGGCCAGGCACCCTACGCCCCACAAGCCAAGGTTTAGGAAAACAGCATCCAGTAAGGCGCTGGTGGCGGCAGGAATTCTTGTTGGAAAATAAAAGTAGGGAAATGTTCGGACATCATGAGAGAAGCCTTTGTGGCGCCTCTGTTGATGGTAGCAGCGGAGGTAGCCCCAAGGATCTACAGTATGTAATGGGAATAGCGATAATGGGGGGGTCGTCGGAGAAGCGTATGTGGGGGGTGCCCAATCAGAGACCCAGAAAAAGCGGCTGCTATCTATTTCGGGTTGACTCGTTGGGATTAACCAATTAGGATCGGCTCTATTAGAAGATTGTTCCAGAAGTGTAATCTGGTATTGCATACTTTCCATCAGTGTCCCCAACCGTCCAGGGCGCCCTGCAGGGCCCTGGCCGGCCTGTAGTCCCGGGCGTCCGGGGCAGGGCGGGTAAGGACGGCAGGGCATGACGTCCGTCCTGTCTGAGCCCAAGGATGGACGAACTGGACGCTTGGGAGCACTGCGTTCCATTGGGTTCATGGCGTTACTCATTTTATTCTTAGCTTGATGGAATATAGGCCTGTTCGAATTATGGAAATTTCTCACTCGAATCTTGGTTTATCTGGCAAGGGTGCTAGAACTAGCAGAGCTTCTACTGCCTCTTAAACTTTGGAACACTGTACGGAAAGAGTGAAGAAATCGTATAGGATCGCTCTACTATCGCAAATTGTTATTAGCGATGGTAACCCGGGGATTTTCCGCTGATACCCGCCTAAAGGAAAGCATACACGAAAATAGGGATTGGGTGAGCATCGTATATGGCGAAAGATTTGTGTATCTGAATGCCCATACAAAACACAGCCCTATGTTTTCTGGTAGTACTTTGGTCCCACTTTGGTCTGACTTCTGTCCAAGATATTATTTTATGCTATCATCAGCCTTACTGGATTTCCTTGTCACGATGTAAACTAGTAGAGTGCGGCTCAGAGGGATACATGTCACGATTATGTTAGAGTATTCCGGCATCATACTTGTATAGGGGGATAGGTATGTGAATAACGGCCCCCAGTTGAACCTACATAGCCACCCTACCACCAAAGAGATCAATGCGTTATTTCCTAATCATTTCATACTAGGTACAAACACTATTGGGTATATCGCCCATCTTATCAAATGTTTTCAGCCTTTTCTGGGTCGGATATGCGACAATACTGCAGTATCATAGCGCAGCCAGTAGTAATTAGCAGGGTTAGGGTTGACGCTTCCCCATCATGCTCACCCAACGTAAGCCCCTAGCCCCAATGAGCCACCGATGGCTATTGTCGGGGCCTTAATGCTGCTTTACCTGGAAGCATGTGCAGGAGAAATGTCGGGATGCACAAGTGTGGGGGTGCTACATAGATCCCAGCCTATCATTCGACAACTGGCGGTTGGAAGGAGGTCACCATTCAAGGCTGGATAGGTTAGTGGGCAGCCACCCAGCTGGAATGTAGCCCGAGTTTATCGAACCCCCGGCTCTTGCAGTGTCCGCCAAGAATGGTTAATGAGTACTAACCACAGCCATCCTTGGCAGTGCAGGTATTACCTTGTGGTGTTGAGAATAACATCACCATCATTGACTCGACGATTGAGTGTTGTGTAACGGGACGAGTGACATAAATACTGTCCAAGATCCCACGATCTGGAAGAAGCATCCTCTCAGACATCTCTTAACAGTACTAAAAAGCTACATTACCATCCTTACTACATCTTCATCTTCTAATTATCACTATCCCACTATCTTCCACTTTAATTAGCAACTTCCTAGACAAAACCAACCCAATCAAAATGAAGTCCACTATCTTCTCCGCTATCGCTATCTTCGCTACATTGGCCGCCGCCCTTCCCACCGCCGCCCCAGCAGAGACCACAGTGGGGATCCCCGCACCCCCCCAATTTCAAGTCCTGCAAGTGATCAACTCCAGCGCAGTGGTAAACATCAATGAAGACACCCCCGACACTGCCCTCGGTGTTAGCACCATCGGAGTCGTCTCCCGCACCAACAACGGGCATAACTCCCAAGCCCTCGTCAAGTTCGATTTCCCCGCAGGACTTGGCGGGCACAAGTGTCGATTGGCATTCGGCTCCCCGTCCCGCTTCAGCGGTACCGGGAGGATCCAAGTGTACACCATCGGGGACGCGAACATCGCGAGCGCCACCTTCAATCAGCGACCTTTCAGGGATCAGTTTAAGGGTAGTTTCCGTGTTACCGGGTGGGGTGAAGCTGAGGTTGTTGATGTTTCTGGATTGACTTTTGATTGCCCGACTCAGGGGGCTAAAGCATATGAGGTTGTCTCTGTTGGGGATAACAATGAGGTTATTTGGTATGCGGCCTGGGGCGGATTGAGAATTGATGTTTTGTAAGGGTTGAGTGGGTGTTGGATGAGCTTTCGCTTGCACCGCAGTTCATACTCTTTTATCTTGTTATTTAACTCTATTTTTTCACCCTTTTAAGTATTGCTCTGCGTTGTTGTGGTGGGGTTGTGTTTTCATTTTGTTTTGAGGTTTGGAGCTTGGGGTTGCATATTTTGTTGTCATTCATCTGAACGAACACTGGTTTTAGATTTATCGGGTGTTAGAAATATATGGGAGGAAGTATACACTTTAAACTTGAGCTTTTTTTTGAAAGCGATTCGGTCTTACCCGTGTGGTCAGCACCAGAGATACTAGAGCGCGAGAGGGATGATGATGGGCTTTGAGGTTCACTAGACATTAGCACTGCGCTGAGTAGCTATTGGGTATAATATGCTTCTCGAATAGATTACTAAATGTGGGAGCGAGGTTAAATCGTTTACTAACCACAAAATCATAAACATTGCAAATAGAAATAAGGTATATTGGGGCTCGACAATCGCCACCTTCGACAGTTGTGATAGAGCCTAGTAAAAAGAAGCGTCTTTTCCTTCGGCGGAGTGACCACTCACAGGAAATCACTCGCAACAACCCACCTCTTGATTGTTGTAAGTCTGCCGTAAGGCATGATCATATAGCTTCCTGATAGGGAAGGAAGAAATGTGGAACAAACAGGACAGACTGAAAGCGGTAAAATGTACCGAATGGGGTTGAGTGGGACGATCATGGCAGATCGGGCCGAGTGTATCAGTTTGGAATGGAAGGATATTTATGAGATCAGGAATACTTGTATAAAAGGGTAGATGGCTACCCGGTACTTCTTGGATAAGGTAGCCTCAACAATACTTTTCTAAAATCCTATCTCTTCTGAATACTGTCTATTGATTCCTGAGAACTTTCCTTCTTCATCTTTTTCAACATTGATGACATCGCACAACCTAGTGAAAAATAGCCGAATATAGAGTCAATATTTGCCTGCTCTTCATGGGCCCACTCTCAGTGAATGCTACAAACAGAAAGACCACCATAACTATAACACGGGCAATGCCCCCAAACACCCGATCTGCCACCCGGGGAGGCGGGGCTGGGCGGACTATGTGCGATAGTGTCCTTTTTGTGTGGCCATCCCACACTCCACAAGCTAAGGTCTGGGAGAACCGCCGGCCCGGACATCCAGTATGGCACTGGTGACGGCGGGAGCGCTTGTTGGAAAAGAAACGCGGGGGAAAGATTAGCCATCAGTGGGGAAGTCTCAATGGCGCGGATGTTGATAGCAGCAGTGGCAGCAGCCGCAAAGATTCTATGTGACGGGAATAGCAATAATGGGAAGATTGTAGAGGATGAAGATGGGGGGGTACCCAATTACAGATTTAGGACAAGCGGTTGCTCCCCAATCCACACAAATACACTTGTTTGTGTCTTCCCCTTTGTTGGTTGTTTGCAATGTTTCTAACCGGTTATTTTCATCCCTGATATTGATGGAGGAGCTAGTCACTCAACATTTCAGGTTGGCTCGTTAGGATTAACCAATTGGGATCAACTCCATTGGAGAATTAACCCGGAAGTGTAATCTGCTATTGTATTCTTTGCATTGGGCTCATGGCCTTACTTTTTTCACTCTTAGCTTTATCGGATATAGCCCAGCCCAGACTATGGAAACCTCTCATTCGTACTATCTTGGGTCAGCTGGCAAGGATGCTAATGTCTAACAGCACACCTTCTTCCTCCTAAACTTCAGAAGGCTTTGCCGAAAGAGTGAAGAAACCGTATAGGATCGCTCTACCTAAATTATCGTTAGCGATGGTAACCCGGGGATTTTCTGCTGATACTCGCCCGAGGGAAAGCCTATACGAAGATAGGGGCTGAGGGGGTGTCATATCGCGAAAAATTTGTGTATCTGAATTCCCATACAGAACATACCCCTCTGTTTTCAGTTAGTACTTTGGTCTAACTTTAGTCTGACCGTGACTTTAGTCCAAGATGTTATTCTGTGCTATTATCAGCCTTAATGAATCTCCTTGTCGCGATATAGCCTGTGCAGTACGTCTCAGAGGGGCCTGCCCTGATTATATCGGTGTATTTGGGAGATAAGTATCAAAAATATGGCTTGTCTGAGTTTACATAGCCACCATACCACCAAAGAGACCAATGCCTTATTTTCAGATACCCTCACACCAGGTACAAACGCTATTGGTTATAACCTATCTTATCAAATGCTTTCAGCCCTTTCCAGGCCGGGTATGCGACGATACTGCAGTATCATAGCGCAGCCAGTAGTAAGTAGCAGGGTTAGGGTTGATGGTTCCCATCATGCTCACCCAACGTAAGCCCCTAGCCCCAATAAGCCACTGATAGCTATTGTCGGGGCCTTAATGCTGCTTTACCTGGGAGTGTGTGCTGGTGACATGTCGGAATACACAAGGGTGGGGGTACAAGATCCCGGCCTACTATTCTACAGCTGGTTTTTGGAAGGAGGTCACCATTCAAAGCTGGATAGGTTGGTGGGCAGCCACCCAGCTGGAATGTACCCTGAGTTTATCGAAGCCCCATGCTTTCGCGGTGTTCGCCGAGAGTAGTGAATGAGCACTAACCACAGCCATCCTTGGCAGTGCAGGTATTACCTTGCGGTGCCGAGAGTAACATCACCATCGTTGACTCGAGGATTGAGAGCTATATAACGGGACGAGTGACATAAATACTCTCCAAGATCCCATAATCTGGAAGAACTATCTTCTCAAATACCTCTCAACAATACTACAAGCTAAATTACCATCCTTGCAATATTTTTAATCTTATCATCACTATCCCAATATCTCCCACTTTCAATTACCAACTTCCCGGACCAAACCAACCCCATCAAAATGAAGTCCGCTATCTTCTCCTCCGCTATTGCTATTTTCGCTACATTGGCCACCGCCCTTCCCACAGCTGCCCCGGCAGAGCCTACAGTGGGGAGCCCTGCACCCCCTCAAGTTCAAGTCCTGCAAGTGATCAACTCCAGCGCAGTGGTCAACATCAACGAAGACACCCCCGGCACTGCCCTCGGCGTTAGCACTACGGGAATCGTATCCCGTACCAACAAGGGGCACAACTCCCAAGCCCTTGTCAAATTTGATTTCCCCCAAGGACTTGGCGGGCACAAGTGTCGATTGGCATTCGGCTCCCCTGCCCACTTCAGCGGTACCGGGGAGATCCAGGTGTACACAATTGGGGACGCGAACATCGCGAGCGCCACCTTCAATCAGAGGCCTTTCAGGGATCAGTTTAAGGGCACTTTCCGTGTTTCCGGGTGGGGTGAAGCTGAGGTTGTTGATGTTTCTGGATTGACTTTTGATTGCCCGACTCAGGGGCCTAAAGCATATGAGGTTGTCTCTGTTGGGGATAACAATGAGGTTGTTTGGTATGCGGCCTGGGGCGGATTGAGAATTGATGTTTTGTAAGGGTTGAGTGGGTGCTGGGTGAAATTTTGCTTGCCTCGTGGTTTCTGCTCTTTTTTCTTGTTATTCAGCTCCATTTTCTTTCTTTTAAGCATCGCATGGCATGGTAGAAGTGGGGTCAGGTTTGCATTTTTTTTTCAAAGATTGGAGCTTGGTGTTGCATATTTTATTGTCATTCATTTGAACGAACACTGGTTTTAGATTTGTCGAACATTAGAGATATATGGGAGGAAATATACACTTTAAACTCGAGCCGCTCCCGAAAGCGATTTAGTCTTACCTATGCGATCACCATTATAGATTGTAGAGCACACGAAGGGCGATATGGGCCTGGTGGTTCCCCGGATGTTAACCCCGCATTGAGCTGCTATTGAGAACAATGGCTTCTCAGATAGATCACTAAACGTGTGAGCGAGGTTAAATCATTGCTAACTACAGAGCCATAGTTCTTATAAGTGGTAATAAGTTATGTTAGAGCTCAATATCTTGAACCACCACCTTCAACAGTTACGGTAGGGCACAGGAAAAGTAACTGTCGTTCTTTCGGTCGAGTGACCGCCCACAGGACATCACTCGCCATCAGTAGAGAAGCCTTAGTGGCGCGGATTTTGACAGTAGTAGTGGCGGCAGCCACAAGAATCTATGTGATGGGAACAGAAATAATGGGAAGATTGTCTGGGATAAAGCTGGGGGGGTGCCCAATCAGAGATTTAGGAGAAGCGATTGCTTTCCAATATACATATATCCACTTGTTTGTGTCTTTCCCTTCGTTGGTTGTTTGCAATGTTTCTAACTGCCTATTACCATCTCTGATATCGATAGAGGGGCTAGTCACTCAACATTTCAGGTTAACTCGTTAGGATTGACCAATTAGGATCAACTCCATTGGAGAATTAACCTGGAAGTGTAATCTGCGATTGTATTCTTTTCATTGGGCTCATGGCCTTACTTTTTTCACTCTTAGCTTTATCGGATATAGCCCAGCCCGGATTATGGAAGCCTCTCATTCGTATCTTGGTTCAGCTGGCAAGGGTACTAGTGTCTTCTACTGCCTCTCAAACTCTGGAACACTTTGTTGAGGAGTGAAGAAACTGTAAGAGATCGCTCTTTTTAAATTGTTATTAGCGATGATAATCTGGGGATTTTTCTCTGATACTCGCCCAAGGGAAAGCATACACGAAGATAGGGGCTGGGTGAGCGCCGTATATGACGAAAAGTTTATGTGTATCCGAATGCCCATACAAAACATACCCCCCTGTTTTCAGGTACTACTTCGGTCCGACTTTGGTCTGACCTTAGTCCATGTTATTTTATGCTATCGTTAGTCTGACTGAATTTCCTTGCCGCGAAGCAAACCAGTATAGTACGGCGCAGGGGGTACAGTACATGCCGCGATTGTGTTGGAGTGTACATTCAAGCATCATACTTGTATCCGGGGATAAGTATCTGGAAATGTTGCTTGTTTGAATTTGCATAGCCACTCTACACCAAAGAGACCAACGCCTTATCCTCAGATATTATACTTCACATTGTATACAAGCACTGTTGTCTATATCACGTATCCTATTAAATGTTTTCAGCCCTTTCCGGGTTGGGGATGTGACGATACTGTAGTATCATACCGCAGCTAGTAGTAAGCAGCAGGGTTAGGGTTGATGCTTCTCCAGTATGCCCGCTAACGTAAGCCTCAATGAGCCACCGATGGCTATTGTCGGGGCCTTAATGCTGCTTTACCTGGAAGTGTGTGCTGGAGAAATGTCGGAATATACAAGGGCGGGGGTTCTAGATCCCGGCCTACCATTCGACAGCTGGCTTTTGGAAGGAGGTCACCATTCAAGGCTGGATAGGTTGGTGGGCAGCCACCCCAGCTGGAATGTAGCCCTAGTTCATCGAAGCCCCAGGCTTTCGCGGTGTCCGCTAGGAGTGGTTAATAAGCACCAACCACAGACATCCTTAGAAGTGCAGCTATTACCTTGTGATGTCGAGAATAACATCACCCTCGTTGACTCGAGGATTGAGTGCTGTAAAACGGGACGAATGATATAAATACTGTCCAAGATCCCACGGTCCGGAACAAGTATCCTCTCAGACATCTCTTGACCTTACTACCAAGCTACATTGCCATCCTTACGCTATCTTCAATTTTTTTATTACCAACTTCCCAGACCAACCCGTTCAAAATGAAGTCAGCTATCTTCTCCTCTGCTATTGCTATCTTCGCTACATTGGCCACTGCTCTCCCCACCGCTGCCCCGGCGGGGAGCCCTGCACCCCCCCAAGTTCAAGTCCTGCAAGTGATCAACTCCAGCGCAGTGGTCAACATCAACGAGGACACCCCCAACGCCGCCCTCGGCATTAGCGTCACAGGAATCGTCTCTCGTACCAACAACGGACACAACTCCCAAGCCCTTGTCAAGTTTGATTTCCCCGCAGGCCTTAGCGGGTATAAGTGTCGATTGGCATTCGGCTCCCCTGCCCACTTCGGCGGCAGCGGGGAGATCCAAATGTACACCATTGGGGACGCGAATATCGCGAGCGCCACCTTCAGCCAGAGACCTTTCAGGGATCAGTTTAAGGGTAGTTTCCGTGTTACCGGGTGGGGTGAAGCTGAGGTTGTTGATGGTTCTGGATTGACTTTTGATTGCCCGACTCAGGGGGCTAAGACATATGAGGTTGTCTCTGTTGGTGATAACAACGAGGTTGTTTGGTATGCGGCTTGGGGTGGATTGAGAATTGATGTTTTGTAAGGGTGGATTTGGTGTTGGGTGAGCTCTCACTTGCACCGTGGTTCCTGCTCTTTTTTTAGTTATCCAACTCTATTTGTTTTCTTTTTAAGTATTGCATTGCATGGCTGTAGTAGAGTTGAATTTTCGAGGGTCGGAGCTTGGTCTTGCGTATTTTATTGTCATTCATTTAAACAAACGCTTGTTTTAGATTTGTCGGGTGTTAGGGATAGATGGGAGGAAATATACAAGTTAAACTTGAGCCCCTTTTCTAAGCGATTTGGCCTTACTCGTGTGAGTACCATTAGAGATCACAGAAGACACGAAGGGTGATATGACCTTTGAGGTTCCCTAGATGTTAACACTGTCATGAGTAGCTATTGAGAATAATAGGCTTCTCGGATAGATTACTAAATGCCGGAGCGAGGGTAAATAATTCACTAACTACAGAGCTATAAATCCCACAAATAGTTACAAAGTGTGTTGGAACTCAACAATTGCCACCTTCGACAGTTGCGATAGAGCCTAGAAAAAAGAACTGTCGTTTCCTTCGATCAGGTGACCACTCACAGGACATCACTCGCAATGACTCCCCACAGCTGTTCTCGGATAACCCAGTAAGCGGCCAAATAAAGAGTCAAGCTTTACCTGCTCCTCGTGGGCCCATTCCCAGTGAATGCTACAAGCAGACAGAGAGACCACCATCACTACAACACCAGCAGCGCCCTCAACCGTCCGGCCCTACACCCCACAAGCTAAGGTCTGGGAGTACTATCGGCCGGTCACCTAGTATGGCACCAGCAACGAAGAGAATGCTTCTTGGAAAAGAAAGTGGGGGAATGATCAGCCATCAGTAGAGGAGCCCAGAGTAGTGGCGCAGATTCTAACGGCAGCAGCAGTAGCAGCCGCAAGGATCTGTGCGATGGGAGTAGCAATAACGGGGAGATTATTGGAGAGAAATATCGGGAGGGTGAATAGGATGAAGGGGCGGAGTCCGGTCTGGTCTGAGTTGGAAACTACCAACGCCCACTGAGAGGTTTAGGCGGAACAGTGGTTATCCATCTAAATTTACCCACTCGTGCCTTTCCCCTCGTCCGTAGGCTGTCGCTAATAACTTCTCTTTTTTCCCCCTCACTTCTTGTAACCCCCTTGGCTTTGTATTATAGACAGTAAATAGTCTGCTCCAAGAGCATACAGCCCCTTTTCGGTCACTCCAACGCCAGGGACGCTTAAGAATCAAAAGTGTGTTAAAATACACATATCTATACTCCCCCCACCCAAGACACACAAGATGACCGAACCTAACACAGCCTAGCGCAGGTCCCTATCTCCAAAAATTTGGTCGGTTTTAGAGACCTCATGTCGCCCTCCGAGAAGGGATCCGCCCAGTCGACGTGGCACAGCCTTTTTCGTTTAGTTAGTAAACTACCATGGCACATCTGTGTGGACTATATATGGGGTATACAGCGAAGGCCTTTAATTAACATAGCCTACGATGCTGTGTGAGGAGTATCATGAGTGGGGGACCCCACAAGACTTTCCTTTTTTCTTTTTTTCTCACTAGCCCCTGCCCCCTTTTGCTATACTTGTTACGTGTACTGTACTTCCCTAATAAACTCCAATTATCCCGATCCTTGCTGTCGCTGTTGTAGCCAGTCTCTCAACTCTTGAGCCGTTAGGACCAACCAACCAAAATCAGCTCTTTTAGAGGGCTATCCCTAAAAAGTACTTAATCTTTTCACTCTCGACCTGGTACGATACTGATATGAATGACTCTCGGACCATGGAAACCTCAAACTCGTATCTTAGTTCAGCTCTCGAAGGTACTAGTGGCCAAGAACACTCCCGGGACACTTCCTCCTAAACCTTTGAGCGCTTGGACTTGCCCTCCAAACTAAAAGGGAAATAAGTCAGATATGATCGCTCAACCAAAATGGCCATTGGCGGCGGTGACCTGAGGGTCCCCTGCTAATACCGTTAAACAAAACCCCTTGAAATCCCCTATTGGACTGTCAAGGGCGGAAGTGAGCCTTTCGGCCCACGATGGGTTTAGATGGACAAGCGAATAGAATTGCGAATACCAAAATGCTACTCATTCCTAGGAGCCCCTAGCTCTGACCCGCTGGATTACCTGGCTGGCGGAGATTCCTGCAGTGGGTGTCTAGAGCTTTTGCAACACCGTACCGGTACTCGCCCTAAGCAAAAAGTACGTAAAAATAGAGACTAATGGAACTATATAGCGAAAAGTGCCAGCATGCGGTACTATGGTTATCCTTATGGTTTTTAGGGTATGGGGAGGCCCTAGCGAGCGAGGCTTGGATATCCTGTATTCCCCTTTTCGTATCGTAGCAACGATCGTAGCTAGGAAACACATCAAATTCCCTGCTTCTATCTCCCATGCTCAACAATAGTATCAACATAACCCGCGAGTATCTTAGTGCCCACACAATACATACCCCCCGTTTTCCGGTATACCTTGCTCGCAGCTAGTATTTCAGTCTGATCCTGATCTGACTCCAGTCCAGGATGAGATTTTATCTTATTGCCGTCTTACTGAATCCCCCCTTACAATGTAGCCAGTACAGCTCGGAGGTGTACCGTACGGCACACGCCATAATTGTGTTGAGGTGTTTTGAGCACTATCGGATATTACTTATCTAATTTTTTCAGCCCTTTATAAATTGGGGACATGACCACAGTGGGTCAATCAGTAATAAGTGGTAGGGCTAGGGTTGGGCAGCTTCCATGAACCTGGTTCAAAGAAATATGCCTGTCCAACGTAAGCCACTGGCCCTAATGAGCCACCCATGTAAACACACAATTCTCGTATCCGTCCTATCATACCGGCAATATAGGATATTATACAAGCCCCAATCCCGCCCTACCCGGAAATCCATTGGGGAAAAATGTAGGAACGCGGAAAGGTAGGAGACTGGGTTCTGGGCCACAAAATCTGACTTTCCAAGAAGGGCCATCACTCAAGGTTGTATCGGGCAACAGGCTACCCCCAGAGCCGCAACCTGCCCTAGGTTTATCAAAACAACAAGTTTTGGCGATTCTCACCGGAGAGAGTAGATGAGCACTAACAGCTATGATATCATCCCGGGCAGTGCAGGCAATGCCTTGTGGCATCGATAATAGCATCACCGTGTTTGACTTGAATATTTGAGCCCTGCATAGCTAGGTGAGTGACATAAATACTCTGCAAGATCCTGCGATGTGGAAAAAAATCATCCCTTTGGACATCTCATAACAGTACTGCAAAGTCACATTACCATCATTACAATATCTTCAATCCTCCAATTATCACCATCCCTCCTCTTCGGTTTTTAATTTCAACTTCCTAGACCAAACCAAGCCAAACATCATAATGAAGTCTACTATCTTCTCCTCCGCTATGGCTATCTTCGCTACCTTTGCCGCTGCCCTTCCGGCCGCTGCCCCGGTAGAGCCCGCCGTGGGGAACCTCGCCCCCCGCGATCACGTCAAGCAAGTGATCAACTCCAGTGCAGTGGTCAACATCAACGAGGACACCCCCAACGCCGCCCTCGGCATTAGCGTCACAGGAATCGTCTCTCGCACCAACAACGGGCACAACTCCCAAGCCCTCGTCAAGTTTGATTTCCCCCAAGGACTTGGAGGGTATAAGTGTCGATTGGCATTCGGCCCCCCGGCCCGCTTCAGCGGTACCGGGGAGATCCAAGTGTACACCATCGGGGATGCAAACATCGCGAGCGCCACCTTCAATCAGAGACCTTTCAGGGATCAGTTTAAGGGCACTTTCCGTGTTACCGGATGGGGTGAAGCTGAGGTTGTTGATGGTTCCGGATTGACTTTTGATTGCCCGACTCAGGGGGCTAAGGCATATGAGGTTGTCTCTGTTGGGGATAACAATGAGGTTGTTTGGTATGCGGCTTCGGGTGGATTGAGAGTTGATGTTTTGTAGGTGTGGAGTGGTTGTTGGATGAGCTTTTGTTTGCACTGTATTCCCACTCTTCTCTTCTCATTTAATTCTATATCCTTTCTTTTAAGCATTGCATTGCATAGTAGAAGTGGGGTTGGGTTTGCATTTTGTTCCGAGGATTGGAATATGGGGTTACAAAATTTTGTTGTCATTTAATTGTGCGAGTATTTCTTGTATTAGATTAACCACCGTAGAGATATGTGGGGGGATATTTACACTTTAAACTTGAGCCCTACTTTGAAAGTGACTTGGTTTCCGTCGCGCGAATACCACCAGAGGCCCCTACTACCCAGAACAAGAGCGATAGTAGACTTTGAATTTCGCTAGACACTGATATTGTGCAAAATTAGTAATTGGGTCTAACAGGCTACTAGAAGCAGCCTAATACTGCGTGAGCGAAGTCACCATTTGCTTACTGCGCCCCGCAAATCTGCCTTGGAGTTGTGCCCCAGTTTGAGGCTTGACAGTTTCCCCGGATAGTTGCTCGTAACCACCGAGGTTTACTGCCCAGAAAGAAGAATCATAGAGCTATCCCGACAAGAGACCACTCACCAGATATCACTCATGCATAATCATCCCTACCAGGGATTGCGCAACCTACCGAGCTGAATCAAGAGTCAAGGTCCACCCGCTTTTCGTGGGCCCATGGCCAGTGAAGGCTGCAAGCGAGCAGAAAGGCTGTCATGACCATAGCACTGGTAACGCTTCCGATGGTCTGTACCGCGACCCAAGGAGGCAGGTTGGCACCGAAGGACACCCTATACCTCATTGGCAAAGGACCGGAAGGTGCGTGGGCCCGGAAATTCAGTATGGCGCGGAAAACTGCCTCAATCATCCACAGTCTCCTGTGTCCTTCATATTACCGAACCAAATATACCACTTCCCTTGCCACTTTTCCTACCCACTGAAATAGGCATTCCAGTTGGAACCCGCTCAATTTGGGAACCATGCCTACCCCCTCCAGCTAAATGCATTTCTACACATGACAGAAGAGTAAGGGGATATAACTACTACCGCCGCAGTTCCCAGACCTCTACCCGGCAGGCGTAACATTATTCCCTCCCTTTTTTACGTCTATTCAATCGCCATGGCACATTTGTGAGGTATGCACAGAGTAAACTGTGAATGTCCTTTAGTAACATATGGGGCTGTGTGGAGAGTATCATCGGTAGGTAGCCCCTTGCAGCTTTTTCTTTCCTCATTCTCTTTCATCCACCCTACTTCTCTTTTGTTATACCTCTCAAATCAATCCACCATTATCATTACAGTGACTAGTAACAAAATACCTGAGTTGTTAGGACTGGCCAATTTAAATCAGCTCTGTCAGGGTATTAAACCCGAAAATTATTCCATTACTGCACCATTACTTTTATCGGGCGCACCCACTTGCTCTTTTTACCCCTGGCCCGGTAAAGAAAAATAGACCATCTCAGAAGATGGAAACCCCACTCTTGTATCTTAGATCATCTCACGGAGATACTAGTAGGGAGCAACTCTTCTGCATCCTCCGGAGGTGTGAACCATTGGGCTTCCCGGCAAGCTGAAAGGGAAAAAGCCACACATGAGAACTCCACTAAAACACTTACCAGTGGTAGTAACCTGAAGGCCACCTGCTAATAGTGAGAAAAAATACTCTTGAAATCCCCTATCGGAATATCAGCAGCGGAAGCAAGCCCTCCAGCCAAGGGTAGGCCTTGATTAGCAGGTTAACAGTATTGCGAATACTGGCTATGAGATCTAACACATCACGTAGGATAGCCACGTATCGAGTCGGAAAAAGTTGCTCCTTCTCAGGAGCTTTCGCCTCCGAATCTAGAGATTAGCAGGCTAGCCGGGATCCTGAGGTGGGTTTCAAGGGTTTCTCTTGCTCCGATGCCTGAAAAAGAGGGCGAAGTAAATATATGGCGAAAAACTCGTGAGCATCCGAGCGCTCACACAATACCGGTACGGTACATACCCCGTCCCATTTTCGCGTGCACCATACCTACAATTAGTACAGTAGACCGGTCTAACCTCAGTCCGACTTCAGTCCAGGATGAAATTTTATGCTTTTGTCAGTCTTACTGAATTCCCTTGTCACAATCAACCAGTACGACTCAGAAGTGTACTGCGCGTGCCACGGTTGTATTACGGAATTTGAGCACCATCAACTATGATATCACTTATCTCACCTTTTCAGCCCATTATAAGCCGGGAATAAGGTCTCAGGGCCGCAGTCAAAAATAAGCAACAGGGTTAGGGTTGGGGGTCTCCCGGAACCCGGTTCAAAAAAATATGCCTGCCCAACGTAAGCCACTCGCCTAATGAGCCACATAGGGACATACACCAGTCCTATGATTCTAGCAGTATTGGATCCTATCCAAATATTACTGCTTTACATGGAAATACATGGGAAAAATATAGGCACACATGAAGGCAAGGAGACGGGATTTTGGCCTACAGCAGCTGACTTTCGAAAAATGACCATCTTTCTAGGCTGTACCTAGCTATGGGCTACCACAGCCGCAACTTACCCTAAGTTTATCGAAACTCCAGGTTTTCCCGGTGATCACCAGGAGTAGTATCATAGATGAGTGCCAACCGCAGTCATCCTCGGCGGTGCAGGTATTGCCTTGTGGTATCGATAATAGCATCACAATGATTGACTCGGAGATCTAAGCACTGCGCAAGAAGATGAGATACATAAATACTCTCCCAGATCCCACAATCTAGAAAAAACCATCTTCTCCGACATCTCTCAACAGTACTACAAAGCCACATTACCATTTTCACTATCTTGTCAATCTTCTAATTCTCACAACCTCCCTCTTCTACTCATCAATACCAACTTCCCAAACCTATACAAACAAAACCAATCAAAATGAAGTATGCTATCTTCTCCTCGCTATCGCTATCTTCGCCACCTTGGCCACT